GACCCCGTCGATCTGCGTGAGGGGTGCCGCCGATTTTCAGACACGTGGCAAATCCTCTGCGTTTTTGGACCCTGGCCCTGCCGATCTGCGTGAGGGGGCCGCCGAATTTTAGAAATGTGGTAAGTCCCTCGTGCTTTTGGACCCAGACCCCGCCGATCTGCGTGAGGGGTGTCACCGATTTTCAGACATGTGGCGCATCCCCTTGTGTCTTTGGACCCTGACCCCGCCAATCTGCGTGAGGGGTGCCACCGAATTTCAGAAACGTGGCAAATCCCATATGTTTTTGGACCCGGGCGAATGGTCCTCGCCCGTTCTTGAGGCGCACTTGGCCGAGTCTGGGGGCGACCTGGTGTAGGCGCTGGCGATCCAGGCGTCGCGCGTTTCCTTCGCGCGTTCGCAAACTGCCTTTGCGCTCGGCAGCGACGCGGCGCCGCCGCGCGCGCCGCCCGTTTTCGCGAGGGGCGGGCCTGCCGCGCGCGCGGCGCGCCAGCGTGCATTGGCGAAGGGCCACTTGCATCCCTGGCGCCCCTCGCGTCGGCTCAGCCTGGACTCGCCGGGCTGCGCAGCGCGGGGGGTGCCGCGCTCCTTGTCGAGAGGGTGCAGGTACCTTCGGGTGCGGGAGGCCGTCGGCGCAGTTCTAATTGGCTGCGGGCGCACAGCGCCATCGCAAGGGCGCGCGCGCACAGGCGCAAATTTCGTTCCCGCGCCCTTGGCCCGCGCGCAGGCGGGCGAGCCGCGCGCGCGGGCCGCCTCCCGCTCTCCTGCGCCTCGCGGCGCGCCGCCCCGCGAGAAGGGTTCGCGCGCGCGGCGCATTGCTTGTTCCTCGCTGCGCGCGGCCCCGCGAGAAGGGCGCGCGCGCGGGCGGGGCGGCGGCGGCTCGCGGCGAGCGCGCGCGCTCGCGCGTGCGCTGCTGTCCTTGTTGCGTCGCCATCGGCGCCGCTCGGTTCAGGCGCGCCGCGGGGGTCCCATCGGGGCGGACCGCGGCGCGCCGCGGGGTCGCGCGCGTCGCAGGCGCTGGCGCCTTGCGTTTTGCCGTGGCAGACGGCGCGTGCGCTTTCGCCCCGCCCCCCCGCTCCCGGGGGCGCTTGCGTCCTGGGCGACCCGCGCGTCGGCCCAATCTGGTTTCGCCAGAGTGGGCAGCGCGGAGGGCGCCACACCCCCTGTCAAGAGGGTGCAGGCATCTTCAGGCGCGGGAGGCTGTTGGCGCAGTTGCAATGTCTGTCAGGCCCCCCCTTCCCCAGGAACCTCCTTGGGCGACCCCCCGAGGTCCCAGAAAACCCGAAATTCTCCACGACGGCCCACGATAGCCGCCCACTGGCCCTCAAGGCCTTCAAAAGCGCCCCGCGGGAACTCCAAGACGCCCCCAGATTGCATTGCGATTGTCCCGAGACACCCCAAGAGGTGCCCAAGAGGCCTCCCAAGTGATCCCCAATAAGCAAAAACCGTCTCCGTTCCGATGGAAAACGCACATTGTTCGCATCTTCGCTTGTTGGTCTTTCGACGCGTCCAAGACGGCCCAAGAGGCTCCCAAGACGGCCCAGGAGACCCCTGGACAAAACTCTGGGACGGCCGGGCACTCGTGGAGGTGGTTTCGGTGAGTAGGGGGGATTCACGCAAGAGTCTGCTAGTAGAGGGGGGGGCGGTCTTCTGTTAAAATTCTCCTATTCTTCCACGCCTGAACGTTCCAGGGTGCACGGTGGCGGTGACAAGCTTGCGCCAGCCGGTCTTGCCATGGTTTTCGGGTTCGTTGGCCTCGTCCTTCATTGTTTTCGTCGGTTGGCCTTTGCCTGGGTTCTTCGAGTTCCTTGGGTTCCTTGGCAGGAGAGGCGAGAGGCGTTCCCGGGTTGCCAAGCAATGCCGCGCAACATATCCAAGAGTGGTTTAGCAATGCAAGGCGTTGTAAAGCAATGCCAGGCAACGAAAAGCAATGCCACTCAATGCCAAGCAGTGCCAGGCAACGCCCGACAATGTCAGACAATGCCAAGTTATGCAAAGTGAATGAAGGCGAAGCAATGCCAAGCAAGGCAAATCAACGCAATCGCCAGTCGAGGCACTGCAATGCCGAGCGGAGCTAAGCAATACCGTTTGACGGTTTCGTTCGTTTGGTCAATCGGAATGTGTCCAGTGCCTTGTGATTGTGATCCAGCTGCAGCGGTTCACTCATTTTAGGGCCCGCTTTTTTTTTCCTGTCGTTCCGAATGGCGCTCTCGCTCCAGCGCGGGCCACATTTTGAGGTCTGAGTCCTTTCTCGTCGTTGCGAGCCCGCTCCTTTCCCCTCCTCCGCCTTCTCCCGTTCCTTCTGCTCCTCCTGCTCCTACTCCTGCTTCTGCTGTTTGTCCTCATTCCTCCTTTTCTCTGTGCTCATCCTCCTGCTCACCCGCCACTTCCTCCAATATACGCAGCTCTCTGACCTTCTTCATAACACGCTGGAGTCATGTGGTGGGATCCAGGTCCGCTGTGCCACCCGTCTCCGGATGTAGAAACAGGCAGCGCAATGGTAAGATGTCAGATATGGCGCAAGCATGCCTAGCTTGCCGCACCCCCTCTTCTCCCTTCCCATGCCTCTTCTTCCCTCCAGCCGCTCTTTCGCTTCTCATGCTTTTCGTCGTCATCCTTCTCCCCCTTGTCATCATTTTCATATGTGCTCTCCTTCTCCTTCTTCTCCCTCGCCCGCTTCGACGAGCAATCCATACGACGAGAAATTCTCCACGGCGAGAGATCCTTGATCAAGGTAACCAGGAAGCTCGGCTTTAAGGCGCATCATCCTCATCATAATCATATTCATCAGCAGCAGCATCATCATCATAATCATCATCAGCATCACCATCACCAGTCTCATCACCAGCATCGTCATCGTCATCGTCAGCACCATCATCATCAGTAGCAGCATCATCGTCATAACCATCGAGCTCTTCATCATCCTCCCAATCCTCTTCTTCCTCATCGTCATCCCCGCCATCGTAGTCATATTCATAATCATCAGCATCATCATCATCATCATCATCAGCAGCAGCAGCATCAGCATCATCGTCGTCACCAGCATCATCACCACCGCTACCATCACCACCACCATCAACATCATGATCATCACCACCACCATCATCAGCCTCCTCCTCCTCATCATCATCATCATCATCATCATCATCATCATCATCATCATCAACATCATCGTCATCATCTGAATCGTCATGCCTCGCCCGCCAACGCGCCCAGGGAAAGGGCATGCAAGACAGGGTGTCGCAGACGACAATGTTGGCGGCACCGTCGTCCACGTTCATGAACATCGGCGCGTCCGGCGGCGTGCGCCTCCGCCGGGCGCCCGAGGAGCGAGCCCTCCGCGTGTCGTCTTTGCCGTCGCTGCTTGCCTTTCGCCGTCGCCACTCGCCTCCTCGATCCTCCCCCTCCTCGATCCTTCTCCTCGATGCTCCTCCTCCTCCTCCTCCTCCTTCTCAATCCTCCTCCTCCTCGATCCTCCTCCTCCTCGATCCTCCTCCTCGATCCTCCTCCTCCTCCTCGATCCTTCCCCTCCTCGATCCTCCTCCTCGATCCTCCCCCTCGATCCTCCTCCTCCTCCTCGATCCTCCCCCATCGTCCTCGATCCTCCCCACCGATCATCGCCGTCCTCGATCCTCCTCGGTTCTCCTCGGTCCTCGATCCTCCTCGATCGGGGGGCGTGCGCCTCTGCCGCGGGCTGCCGAGACGCTGGCCGCCTCCCCCCATCACGGCCGGGCGGCTGCTCGCGCGCTCCTCGAGCTGCCGCGGGGCCTGAGATCGCGCCTGCGGGCGGTGCCCCGCGGCCGGCAGCTCTCGGGCATGCTCGGGGGGGGGGGGGGCTCGAATGATGGGCTTGCTTTCCACCACCACCATAAGTTGGAGGGGGGAGGGAGGGGGTTCTCCTCTCTCTCTCTTCTTTTTCTTCCTCCTCCTCCACCTCCACCTCCTTCCCCCTCCAACTTATGGTGGTGGTGGTGGTGGAAATCAGGCCCATCATCGAGGGTAGGTCGGACGTCAGAAGTCGGCGGCGAGCCCGGGGGGGAAGGGAGAAGAGGATGGCATTCTCAGAAGGCTCGGAGGTCCCTGGCCTTTGAGAGGTTTTCGAAGCCTTCCCCGAAGACACAGCAAACCTTTCAGAAGACCAGAGGCCTTCTGAGAAGTTTCGCGGCCTTCTGAGAAGGCCTTCTCCTTCTCCCGTCCCCCCCTTGCTCGCCGCCGAAGAAGTGCCCCTAGCCTAGGGTGCCCCCAGGATGTCCAAGGAGGCCTCAATGGCCTCCAGAGCACCCTGTCACGAGGCCCAGGGGGCCCCAGGGGCTCCGAACTGGATCGAGAAACAGCTGGGAGTACCTCGGGCTGGAGGCTCGAGTCGAGGGTTCAGAGATAGGGTCCTGAGGGATGGGGACCAACATGTAGGAAAGGATCCAGAGGTCGATTGCGAAGGCCTGACGGCCGGCTGCCGACCCTGAAGAGGACCACGACGTCGGCGACGAAATGGGCGGCGACGGAGGCCGTGGAAGATTAGGAGGAGGAGGAGGAGGAGGCGAGGAGGAGGGGGAGGAGGAGGAAGATGAGGGAGGAGGAGGAGGAGGAGGAGGAGGAGGAGGAGGAGCAGCAGGAGGAGGAGGAGGAGGAGGAGAAGGAGGAGGAGGGAGGAGGAGGGAGGAGGAGGAGGAGGAGGAGGGGAGGAGGGGAGGAGGAGGAGGAGGAGGAGGAGGAGGAGGAGGAGGAGGAGGAGGAGGAGGAGGAGGAGGAGGAGGAGTAGGAGGAGGAGGAGGAGGAGGAGGAGGAGGAGGAGCAGGAGCCGAAGAGAGGGCTCCGGCGGCGCCAGAAAGCCTCGATCCTCGAGCCTGGGGTTCGGAGGAGAGTGAGCAGGAGGAGGAGGAGGAGGAGGAGGAGGAGGAGGAGGAGGAGGAGGAGGGAGGAGGAGGAGGAGGAGGAGGAGGAGGAGGAGGAGGAGGAGGAGGAGGAGGAGGAGGAGGAGGAGGAGGAGGAGGAGGAGGAGGAGGAGGAGGAGGAGGAGGAGGAGGAGGAGGAGGAGGAGGAGGAGGAGGAGGAGGAGGAGGAGGGAGGAGGAGGAGGAGGAGGAGGAGGAGGAGGAGGAGGAGGAGGAGGAGGAGGAGGAGAGAGGAGGAGGAGGAGGAGGAGGAGGAGGAGAGGAGGAGTCTTTCGTCATTTTCGGCCTCTGGGGGCCATTTGGGGACCGGAGAGTCTCGAAACCGGACCCGTGGTGACGAACTGAACCGATCTTCTCAAGACGCTGGAGGTCTGGGCTTCCCCAGCGCCCTGACTGTCCGTCGGTGGGCGGCGGCGGAGCCCCGCCTCGCCGCCTTTTCGCAGCCCTCGCAGCCCTTTGGAAGCGAAAATGCGAGAAAGCCAAAAACATTGGATTTCCGTAGGTTTCGGGCCGTTTTCTTTGGTTTCTTTGGGGCATCCGTGGACGGCTCGGAAGATTTCCTGTCGTCGAGGGCTTGTTTTTGGCATTTTGTGGGAGAGTCTTGGACGGCTGGGTTTTTTGAAAGGCTCGTGGCATAATCTTGGGGATGTCTGTGGGCTTCCGAAGCCGCGCGGGGAGTGAAAGCGTATCTGAGTGGCGATCCCCCCGGGACCCCCCCCCGCCGGGGAAGGGACAAAGGGAAGGGGCTTCCTTTTGACGCGGTTACGACATGGGTCGATTTCCCTCAAACCCGCTAGAGCGCTGCAACGGCAACGACGACGACGACGAACGGCACAGCCCCTCACAGACGCCGACAGGGGCGGCGGATTTAAGGATCCAGGTGTGGATTTACGTTGTTTGAGGCACGGCGTCGTCAGGACTCCACCTCTCAGGACCCCGTCCGTGAGCCACCGATCAAGGGCCAGGGGGTTGAGGAGCGAAGAGCGAGGATCCAAGAGTCGAGGCCTCCCAGAGGAGGGGGTCCTCCTCCTCCTCCTCCTCCTCCTCCTCCTCCTCCTCCTCCTCTTCCTCCTCCTCCTCCTCCTCCTCCTCCTCCTCCTCCTCCTCCTCCTCCCCCTCCCCAGGCCCGACGTCCGAGGGGCGCCCGAGGCCAGGGCACCCCGCATCGCGTCGATGCATCGGCGACGTCGACGCTGCGTCGGCCACGTCGGCGTGGAGACAAAGTCGGGCCCCACATCGGGCCGCCTCGCCGATGCCTCGGCGGTGCGGCGCGATCCTCCGACCCCAGCTGCTCGGGCCCCATCTGGGAGGCCCAGAAGGATCGAGGGTCCAAGGTGCTTAGAGCGGGGCCCCAGGCTGGAGCATTTCCAGGGTCGAGGGTCGAGGTTGCAGGGTCGAGAAGCGAGATTTCCAGGATCGTGGATCGAGGCTTCCATGATCCAGGATTCAAGTCCCAGGTTCCAGGCCACCAATCAAGCAGTGGCGAAGCGTCCTGGCGTGTGTATAGGCCTACGAAACAATGTTCTAATAACCTTCTGTGGTCTGCACGAAATGTTCTTGGAACATTTCTGGCCGGGACCGTCTTGTCTCAATACATCGGGTTTATGTTCAAGAACATTGTTTTGTTTTCGAAACATTGTTGGGTACTGCAGAAATTTCGTGGTAGGCCGATGGAATTGCCGGGACGGTCGGTCCTTGTTCAACCCAAACGGTGCGGTGACCACACCTTGTGGTGAGTCAATGGGGATTCAGCTTGGCCGCACGGTCTTGGGACTCGGGCCGTTCTCCGAGGATGTCTCGGGCGACTGGGGCCTCCAAGGTCCCACAAGCGTGCGGTGACGGACAGTGCAGTGAGGCCTTTGGGGATTCCGAAGTCACCGCGCGATCTGTCACCGCACCGTTTCGGGACCCCCAAGCCTCCCTGCCCCCTCCTCTAGTCAGCACCCTGCTCTCCCAGCTCTCTGCCGAAATCACCGCGTTGCCCAATTGGCCGAACCATCTTGCGAAAAGGGCGGCGCCCGAATGTGCGACACCGTACCGTGCCGACGGAGAAATGGGGCTAAAGCCGCCCTCAATGGCATCGAAATGGTGTAGGATGATACAAGTTTGCATGGTATTATGATCCTTGATTGCCCCCGTCGGCATCATGTTGGACGTCGTCTCGTCCATCTCTCCAACATCTCCCAGGCACCTGACTGGTCGTCAGGCGCGTGCGGTGGCGCCCTTCCACGTCTTTCACCAGCTCCATGCTCGCATTGGTAACCTTGATTGTTTGCACCTCCGCCCCCCCCCCCCCGCTTGTCGGACCATCCGCATGCTCAGGGCCTGCCCCCCATCCCCCCCTCCTTTTACCCGGGGGCGGTGGGATGCAAGCAAACAAGATCATACGGATGAGAGCTTCGCAAAGGTACCCCTGCGCCGCTCGGCCCATTCCACTCCCTCGCCATGGGCCATCTGTTTCCAGCCTCGGCTTCAATCTGGGCGTGCGATTGTCTTGCATCCTTGCCGCGCATCCTCATGACCCGGTCGCGCTGGCAGAGCTGCCGCTTGTGCGGCGGGCCTGGCTCGCCGAGGGGTGCTCTTGGCGTCCTTCAGATTTTGTGAACGCGGGGATGCTTGATACCCCCTTCTGCGCTGGCCAAGCTCATAGTCAAAATGTGGCGGGCATAGCTCCAGGCCTCCCAGATGGGGCCCGAGCAGATGTGGTCGGATGATCGCGCTTTATCGCCGATGCATCGGCGATGTGGCTCGATGTGGGGCCCGAGTCCACACCGATGGTGCCGATACATCGGCGACGTCGCCGATGCATCGGCGATGTTGCGCGTTTCTCCGACCCCATCCATTCCGACCCCATCCAAGAGGCCTCTGTCTGCGCCAGCCAAGCTCGAAGCAGAGGTGTGGTTGGCGTAGCTGTCCAGACCGAGGTTGGACCGAGATGCAATCCAGCACGCGCCGCGGTCTTGGCTTGTCTGGGCCAGGCAGCGCCAGAGCGGCCCGCCGTCAGCCTGTGGTCACAGCGTCACAGACATCGCTGCCCTGCGCTGCCACGGTTGATGCCACGTCATCTTCTCCAGGCCTCCCACGTGGGGTCCGAGTAGATAGGGTCAGAGGATCGTGCCGCAGATGCATCGCCGAAGCATCGGCGATGCTGCGCGATCCTCCAACGCCATCCACTCGGACACCATCAGGGGGGCCTCTATTTGCGCACGTTTTCATCTTCTCTTGCGCGACTTGTCGCACATGTAGCCCTTCACTCCTCTCTGTTCACTCTGTATTCGAGTCTGCTCTGACGCATTCTTCCCAACCTCTTGTGCATCTTTCGGCGGCGAGCAAAGGGGGGGAGGTGAGAAGCAGAACGTCTCCTCAGAGGGCGGAGGGGCTTCTCAGAAGCGCCCCGGCCCTCTGAGGAGTGAGGGCTCGGGAGGGGCTCTGGTTCTCGGGCCGTTCCTCAGATCTGGGTCGGGAAGCATGCTCCGGGTTACCCCAAGAAGCGTTTGGGGGGGTACCCCCCCGACGGGGGTCAACCTCGCCTCGTCGTCGCGCCGGGGTCAGAGCGACGAAGGGTCGGAGCGCCGTCGGCGCGTGGTGGCTGCCCGCGACGGGGGTCGATGTGGGGCCGTCGGCGGGGGTGACGCCCCCCCGACGCTTGTTAAGGAACTCGGAGTACCCGTCGGTCGTTCTAGTCAATTTGTCGGTGCCTGCCTACTAGGGCGCAGGCGGAAACCCAATCTGCTTTCAACGCCTTCCCACTTCATGCTTCTACCTACTTCTTCCGACCGTCGGGCATGTGTGGCTGAGGCTCGCCGTGGTCAGAAGAGCTCCCTTGGTTCCTTGTTCAGCGCTCCTTGTGACAGCACGGTGACTGCATGACTTATTGAACACCCCCTCCCACACGTGACCGGCCGCCCACCAGGGACAACGAGCCCACACTCCACCATCTCTGCAAAACCAGTGCCACGGTTACGTGATGTCAAGCTTTGGATCGCGAGTGGGCGCCCCGCAAGCACCTGACATGTGTGTGTGTGTGTTGCCATGGAGGGCGGTGGGGTGAGCACGTTTGTCCGCTGTGCGCTCGCCCACTATCCGTGATCGCGGGTGCACACGCCGTGCACCATGCTGGCCACCCCGCCGCCAGCAAAGGCTTTCGACATGGATTGGAGATGTTGACATATTTGCTCGATGCGTGCTGTCACGTGCACTGGCGCCCATAGCGCACTGGCGCGTTCTGCGCGTTCGCGCACGTAGCGCACTTGGCGTGGTTGGAGCATGTGGCACACTTGTCGCAGGTGGAGAACGTGGCGCACCTGGCGCTGGCACGCCTGGGCACTTGGGGCATCTGGCGGACCTTGTGCGTATGGCGCACCTGGCACGCGGGGCACACCTCTCGAGCGTCGCGCCTCTGGCGTAGTGGTTCCCACGAGGTTGTCCATCCGATGGCGACCTCTGCCTACTCCCAGCCTTGGGCGTTGCTCCTGCAGGGAGAGGGCGAATGAGAGAGAGCGAGACAGCTTGAGGTTCTGCTCCCGTGTGTGAACTTGAACTGCTCCCACCATCGCCCCCGTCTGTCCCCAACTCTCGTACACTCGCCCCCCCCCGCCCTTCACTCCACGTCTCTACGCACGTTTCCCCCAGATGAATTCTGCAGCGACGGGTGTGTTGTGCCGCCTGGAAGAGGTTCTCGTCATGAGCATGCGGTGAACTGGGGTACCGCGGCGATATCCGCCTCAGCACTGTGCAAGGCTGGGATACTGCCCGGCAAAGGGTGCCCGCATGCTTGCGAATCATCTCCACCCCACCGTTTTCGGCGGGCGCCAACTATACGTCAACTATACGCCTCTGCGCTCCATGGGCTTCCGCCCAGGCGGGACTGAGACCAGGAGAAGTCGCTCCAGAGCGCTCTGAAGCTCTCCAGAGCGCTCTGAGAACGGCCGCGGCGCACGATACATCCTCCAGAACCGCCTGCTCTCAGAAATCTCCCATTTTTATCCCGATCCGAGTTTGTCCCGGTCCTGGCTTCGTTTTATTCCCGTGCTCCGCGGGGGCGTCGACCGTGCGCACGCCCAAGCAGCGGTGCAGGTCTGTCAGGTCGCTGAAGACCCACATGTCCCTGAGGACTGCCGCTCTGCTGGGGCCCCGCACGCCTTCTGCTCGGTCTCCTCCGCGGGCTCGCCGCCGTCCTGGGAAGAGGAGGAGGGGGGAGGAGCAGCAGCAGGATGAGCTGCTCGGAGAGGGCGCCAATGCCATCTGCACGTATTGAACGCCTCGCCCGCGTTTGTGGCATGCGTGCGCGCGTGTGTGTATATATATGTATATATATATATATATGTATGTATATATATATATATATATACGTGTGCGTGTGTGTGTGTGTGTTTGTTTTGTGTGTGTGTGTGTGTGCGTGTGTGTGTGTGAATGTGTGTGTGTGTGTGTGCGTGCGTGCGTGCGTGCGTGCGTGCGTGCGTGCGTGCCTGCGTGCCTGCGTGCCTGCGTGCCTGCGTGCCTGCGTGCCTGCGTGCCTGCGTGCCTGCGTGCCTGCGTGCCTGCGTGCCTGCGTGCCTGCGTGCCTGCGTGCCTGCGTGCCTGCGTGCCTGCGTGCCTGCGTGCGTGCGTGCGTGCGTGCGTGCGTGCGTGTGGTTGTGTGTGTGCGTACGTGGGTGTGCGTGTGGAATTCCTTCGGCAGGTATCCGTTACAATCAGAACGATCCAGAGAAACTTGACATGGCCTCCGCTTAACCATGACACGCGCAACGCGATAAGTGTGCACAACTCTTTACAATCGCAACACGTTGTGGAATTCACGCTAGCCTGTGCCCCCTCATAGCTCTTGCTGCGGTGACGTCACGTGGCTGGCGGAGGATGTGAGTGTGTGGTTTGTGTGTGTGTGTGTGTTTTTTTGTGTGTGTCGTGTTTGTGTGTGTGCGTATGTGTTTGTGTCTGTGTCTGTGCTTGTGCCTCCTTGCACGGCGACTTCCCTAGCGCAGTCTACCAGGTGCGACGTTTGGTGGCAATTCGCTTCGCGTAACCACACCAGCCCATCCAGAAACGATGCCCAGATGAGTTGACCTGATCATGGCTGTGGAGGAGCATGCAGTGGAATCAAGGGCTGGGTAAGACGTCATACCCCAAGAGGGCAAGGACGGAGGATGGAGGTACCGGAGGAGCAGGAGGAGGAGGAGGAGGACGAGGACGAGGAGGAGGAGCAGGTGGAGGAGCAGGAGGCGGAAAGCGAGGGCGAGGGCGAGGGGAAAGGGGGAGGATGAAGGAGGAGGAATAGGCGGAAGAGGAAGAGGAGGAGGAGGAGGAGGAGGAGGAGGAGTAGAGACGTATTCGCCCGAGGCCGGTGGGAACAGGTCCCAGGCCCCCCGCGGCGGCGCCCATGCGAGGCGCCAAGGCAGCCCGTGCGACCGGGCCATAGTTGTGGGGGCGGCACCCCCCCGCGCCTTGCAGCAGGCGGCAGCGGCGCCTGGCAGCGGACGGCCAGTCACATCGGCAACATCAGCATCAACAGCAAAAGGCAGCGCTCCCCAGCCTGGCACAGGAGAAGAAGAATAACCAGAGCAGTGGGTCGAGTTTTATCGAGGCTAGGAGCTGCAGCCAGATGACCTCGTGAACATCATTCACATAACAGTATGGCGTCCAACCGACGGGGAAACTCGCAGGTACGAGGTGTTCCCGGGCATCGTGGGCAGTCAAGGGCACGGGCGCAAGCAAGACACTCAGGGCGATGGATATGCACGACTTGCGGACTCACCAACCCCTCATCCACCAACAAGTGTTTTTGCGAGACGTCGCCATATCCGAAGAGAAAACCCACGACTCCAACCCGGAGGAAGGACGCAGCAGTTCCAAATCACCATCGAGCGAACCCCGCCCAAATGGGACACATCAGTTCAGAAGCTCATTGGCATGATCCCCATGGCTACTGGAGAGGAGGCAGAAACTACACCAGAGTCTGAAGAGCCCCCGGCGGACAACAGTATGAGTCGGCCGCTCAGGCTCAAGGTATATGCCAAGCAGACCCAACTGGCCATGACCGTCAGAGAAGGCGGACACCAACATGGAAGAGTCCATGCATAAGATATAAATGATCCCGTGTATTGTTGACGGCATAAAACCAGCGGCAGCCAGGGTGGAATGTCACAGATGTAGTGTAGATCGATGGAAGGACACCCTCAAGGGACTCGTCAAGGAGAAGATCGCTGTCGAGAACAGAATCGAGGACGCACGCATGCAGCTCGCTCGCGCCCAAGAGGCACTGCGGGACAGCATGAAAGACAGCGATGGAGAGGAACACGAGGCGGACGACGACCGGAGGACGACATGGAGGAGGACTTTCTCGATGAAGCCACGCCGGCCCAGCGAAAGTTACCAGCGGAGCAACCACATCGCAGCAGCGGAAGACGAATGCACCCAGCAGGAGAAAGGCGCCGACAGGACATGAGCTCAAGCAGCGCCGAGACACCGAACAGTCAGCACGCAGCCCAGCAGATCAACCAGCTCGTGGAGATGATCGCGGCGCAGCATGTGCATAATGGTGTATGTTACACACGAGTTTGAGCGACCGGGCAGAGAACCGGGGCCAGGAGGGTTTCTACGAGCAGCAGGCCCACTACCAGCAGCTTTACATGCAGATGATGATGCGCGAGGCGCACCGTAATATAATGGGCCAAGCCGCGGGGGGCGCAGGGCGCCGGGAAGGCTCTTCCCCAACGACGCACGCAGAGGGCCTATTCAACACTCAGGGGCGCGCCCAGGTCATTCAACACAAGGAGTGGCTGAAGAAGAGCCGACGGGAGGCAGCCGACGCGCGCGTCATGGCGGCGAAAGCTGGGCAGCTCTGCGCAGTAGACGCCAGTTGGAAAGCTACGCCAGAGGAAAGCGCAGCGGCAGCCGCGGGCACCGAGAGCAAGGAACCCAGCACCCCCACGGGCATCACCCAGCAGTTCAGCGACATGATGCACTCCCCAAGCAGGGCACCGACAGCCCAGGAAACCAACGGCAAAGACGCACGCGAGGATTGGGATAGATACCAGGCGAAACTCAACAATAACAAGGTCGGATACAACGTCCACGACGGGTTACTTGCAGCCTACTGGGCAGCACAGCAGCCTGGAGCACAGCAGCAAGATACTCGCGATGAAGAAAATGCAGGACCAGCGCAGGCTGCCGCAGGACAAGCATCCGCCCAACCGATGGAAACATTGCCGAGCACGTGGAGTACACGAGCGACCAGTACGCGGAGGCGCTCGAGCAAACTATCGGCCCCGATGAAGGTTCCACTCCGACTGAACAACCATCGCCAGCTGCGCCGATTGCACCGACGCTCCCAGCAGACAGCCGAAACCCACCAGATTGAGCAAAGCCAGTACCAGAAACGAGAGCGATCTCGCCGACGCAGCCGCCGGATCCGAAACATCGCCCACAGCAAGAAGAAGCAAGGTCGCCGCACAGCGCGGCAAGGTCGCGCTAGAACATCGAGGACACCAGGGACACCACGCAGAACCAGGACCCGCTCACTGGAGCAAGTGCCAGAAGAAGGAGCACGACCAGCGCGCCAGCGACAACCTGGCATGCACCGCATCTCAAAAGGAGACACCCGCGAGGACAAGAGCGAGCCCAATCGTTACCTAGGTTCGGGATCCAGGAACGCACGTTTCGACCCTTCGGAGCTCTAGACAAGTCGGCTTCATCATCATCAGGACGTCCGCAGCCGCGTCGTATCGATCGCAGGTCGTGGCTCCCCTTCCGGCAGTTCCCCAACTCAGTCGCCGCCGACAGGAAGATCGACGGCGCCCTGATCTGCCGCTAAAAGGCCGGGGCCATTTTGGACCCCGCGCGCGCGTAGAATTTGACCCTGGAAGCAGCGGTTCGATATGGCGTGAAGCTCCCCCCGCCATCGCTCAGGCAAGATTTCCAGCGTGCAACGGCTGCCATCAGGCCAAAGTGATGAACGACAACTCTTACAATGTGACGATGCGCAGTGCCCGCCTGAGGTGGGGTTGCCAGGTGCTGGTGCCAGGTCGTTCGAGCTCGCCGCAGCAATGGACCATGCGCAGTGCGCAGATTCGAGATGCCCTGCGCCCTGTGCCCATGCCCCTTGCAGTCCTGGACCCCCCCCACGCGGCTCGACCAGGACACTGTGCGGGGGGGGGTCGAGGCGAGCCCATCCCATTGATCATGTACGGCCAGGAGTATCAACTACCGAGGCACCTGTTGGGAAATCCACGGAGCCGCCGGGCAAGCGAGAATTGCCGCGCATCTACACAGATGCAGCGGCACGAGCAAACAAAGATGCATCTGGATGGTCGCTAGCATTAATACCACGAGGAGATGATGAATCTCATGTTCATGGACAGTGGACATGCAGTGCGAGATGACATCAACATGGACATCATATATGCGACATCATATTCAACGCAAGATGAAGTGATGGCTATCATGCGGGCGCTGCAGATTCACCGACTCACAGGGCGCAATAGACACACTTACCAGTGCCACCGCAAAAGACGACATGATCTCCAATTTGGCAATAGGTGTATAATGCAGTACAGCGTGCACGTACAGCTCCCCTTCGGCATGTGAAGGGGCATGATGGGTAACCATGGGATGAATTGTGCGAGTCAATAGCCAAATCGCGTACCAGAACTTAGACCGTAATTGACCGAACCAGGGCGGCCACATCGCCGACCAACTATGTCAAGGCGCTGCGCATAACGGAGTTCATGGACTGGGCCGCCTTGAGGGGTCACAGGTACAAAATTTGGCACGCATGCCCTGAAGCACGCGAACATGGATCATTCTACCGACGCCAAGTACCTCAGGCACATGAGCACCAGCACCGCCGACGCTACCAGCACCGGCAGCACCGGGGGAAGCGCGAACACCCACCCAGAAGGCGAAGACCACGCTCAGCCTCACCTACAATGCCAAGCGCACGGCGGTGGACGCCGTGGACAAAGCACGCGCCCCGAGGAAAGTATTCAGCAAAGTGACCAAAGGCCTCAGGAAGGATCGAGGACGAATCATGCGAATACAGGTTCGAGAGGAACACAGTCACATTGCAGGCGTCCAAGAAATTTCACCGACAGAGGAATACGCCCACTTCGACCACT